AAGTTTTGGTCTTGTAACTTGTAGAATATTGAAGTGATTTTTCAAGTTTGATCGTTTCGACTTACGAATGCATGGTAATGCTTTTTGTTAAAGTTTTGTACATGTTCGAGGTATGTGTTTATCACTTTCTATACATTAGCATATTCATGATACTTATACTTTTTACAATTTTTATGCCATTCATTATATTATATACTTTTTCATTTATGAATCACTTTAGTTCCCACCTTTTTTGGGAGGTAGCTTTCCATTGTTCACATGTGCTTGAGGCCATAATTCTTGTTTTAACTGGATTTTATTATGCTCAATCTTTTGTTTTGTGTTGATTATATGAATGCAAGAAAAGGATCAAAGAATTTTTGTTTCATTTTGAGCACAATAATCTAGCCAAATAGTCAATTCACCTTGTGAGTGTGTGATCATTAATAACCCCTTTGAGCTTTTTATTGATATCCATGTTGTTTTTGATAAATGTTTGTCTATGAGTGTTTGGTTCATATTTTTTTATGGATATTGATTTTTTGTTTTCTTGAACCTTTAACTATGATTTGTAGTTTTAATTTTTACCTTGCCTTAGAAAGTAGGGAGTATTCACATTATGATATGGTTGAATTCAAATTTGGAAGAAAAATGATTGTGTATTTATTGGTTGATTGCTACGAGGTTGAAAAGAAAAGAAAAAAAATGTGAAAAAGAAAAAAGAAGAAAAAAAGAAAAAAAGAAATCTTTGAAAAAGGAAAAACAAAAAGAGTATGGAATAATGTTGTGTTAATAAGTGATGTGTGTTTGGTGTAACACTTGTGATGAAGAAGAATTGTGATTGAAATTATTTTGTTTGAAACTTTGTGGAAGTAATTATTCCCTTAGGTTTAGGCAAACTTTTGTTTTGATTAGCTTTAGGACTTTTCACTTGTTTGTTAACCAAGCCACATTACAACCTTTAAAAGCCCTTGAGATTCTTGTTTTTATATTTTCAATGTAAATTTTTGTATGAATGCATAATTTAGTCTATTGTTTATTGTTGGATGAGTGAAAATACCCCCATTTTTGTGTGTTTTTTCATCTACTAATGATTGTGTTTGCTAGGTGTGATTCATTTGTGAACTAGTATTATTTTAGAATGATGGGCATGATTTTTGTATTTAGCATTTGTTTCGTGTTTATGTTATAGTAGTAGTTTAGTGTTAAGTGTTTACTTTGTGTGTACTATTTTTCATTTGAACCATTGCATTTGTTTTTCGTTTTCAAAAACCTGTTGATTCGTGATTCTTTGATTATCATTCTTTGTTTCTTTGGATTATTTAACTTTGTTTGAGGATAAACAATGATTCAAGTTAGAGAGAGTTTGATAAGTGCAAAAGTGTAGTTATTTTGTATATACTTTTTGTTGCACTTATCGACTCTTTGTTGTTAATATCAGTTGAATAACCCCGCTTTTTGTTGTAAATATGTTTAGTTGCATTTTGAATACATATTGTATCGGTTAATTAGTTTTGTATATTTTTTGTAGGTATTTGAGCATTTGTGGAGCAAGAGGAATAAAGCTCCAAGATGCATTTTTTTATCAATGAAGAATAAGGAGAAAGATTGGAGCCATTGGAAGTTATGCAGGAAAGCAACAAAAGTTGCTGGAGTGTCATGGATCGCCAGGAGAAATTCTTGTCGCCGGGAGAAAGTGGGTGAGAAGAGCCAATTTTGATGTCGCCTCTTCCATCTTCGCGTCTAGGTCTCCAGGCGAAAATAAAGAGAGTCGCTAGGCGAAGCATTCTGTCGCTGGGCGATATTAGATATTTGTTTCAGTTGAGGACATGGCTTATCCTGGGCCAGGTGTATAGAAGGAATCTCCGAGCGATGCTTTTATGTTGCCGGGAGATTCTCGCGGAACATATTTTATTTATACTTTCATTTTATTTCATTTTGGATGATGGTTTCAGGGGTGAATTTTTGTTCTCCCAACTCCATCAACCTTATTTTTGTAGTGGATTAACTTAGATAACAACACTAGGGCTTTGCTTATGGATGATTGGAGGTGGATTTGTCATTGACCGGAGCTGACAAACTGGAAGATTTATGGTTTAGCTCTTCTCCTCTCTATGTATTTCTCTTTTGTTGTGTTTTTTATGTATATTTACTTTGAAATTATGTATATTTGTCGCCCATGGCGTTATATTAAACTTGCTTTACAAATCTTAGAGGATTGTTGTCTTAGATTTTTGATCTGTGCTAGGGATTTGAGTTGTTATAGACATATATTGCTTAGATCCTTATCTAGGATGATTACCTGTTAGTTTCCAAACTCTAGAGATAGGTTTAGAGATAACATCTACTTGAGTATCAGAGCTTAATGCATATGTGTGGTTGTGCTGTGCTGAGAGATCGTCAGTGAGATTACATAGTTGTCTTCTGTGTTGTTGAAGAGGTAGAGAGATCATTTCCTTGGTGGTACAATGGGTCTCTCAATTTGGGTTAGAAATGACTTAGGTTGTGAGTGATATGTAGTGACATTGATGAGTGTTGTAGGTTGAGTATAATTGGTCGATAGATTTAAGTCTGTGATGAGTAGATTATATGTAGGCTTGATAAGTTCTTCCTTAGTTTTTTCTTTTGTTTACATTTATTTTCTATTGATAATTTTCTTTTCAACCCATTTATCGCCAGACTTATTAACAAATTATTTTTCGAACAACGATTCAATAACCAGTCTTCGTAGACACGATACAATATAACCTACATATCATCCGGTAAATTAATAACTTATTTTTTTCTTGCCGCTATATCGCCACAACAAAAACCTACATGGGGAACAACTCACCCGACCTTGGAACACATAAAAACTAAAGCAATGTTACAGTTAAGACACTGAACAGTCGACGTGTCTCGTCAACACAACGAACACACCTTTACCTGACCACATGTGCATGCCTAGGTACAAGCATGGCCCTCAAAATTAAACAAAGAGGAAAGTCTCCACTCTTTTGATGAGCATATTCTTAGCCCAACATGGAAAACTCAAACGAGCTCCATCGTCATTGTACCATGATGGCAGAACACCCATCTCGCGATGAGAAGTTTATGTTGCCGAACTCGGGCCCTCAAAATGAGCCCTGAGTTCTGGCCCATGCCTAGAAACAACCCTGGCTGTTTGACCAGTCTCTCCACCCAAACGAACTAAAAAAACCAATGAGCACACCCCCTAAACTCCTAATCAAAATTAAACGTATCGATTAGACGAGCATACAAAGACATGCAAACATTACAAATAATCGATAAATCCTGCACTAAATAAAGTTAGAAACATTTAAATAATGCATATTAAAACGGACGACCACCATGGTCAGAAAATTTGAAAAGACCCACAAGGGTCGCAATTTTGTGGCCACAAGGACCACTATTGTTTCGAACTTACATCAAGATGGGAAAAGCCCCAGGAAAACAAATCACATGATAAGATGGAACGCAGGCCAAAACAAGAAAGTTCCCTGACCAAAACATCCTCATTGGTCCGAAGGAACTCAGGACTGACTATTTTACCGTCTGACACATAGTAATGGAGCCCTATTCCAGTCGTGTTGAACTTGACATCAGGATTCCGAACCCGGAGTTACGCCACCGCATTATAAAAAATCCCCTCAACATTGGCCAAACTATCATCCACCGCCAATTGGAAATGAGCAACCAAGTCGACAAAATTCTTCAGACCTCTGACTTCTTCCGACTCATCCTCGGAAGGAGTCGATTCAGCCCTCAGGGATGCCACCTGCTCCTCACAAGATTTCTTATCGAGCAAAAGGGTATCGCGCTCCCCGGTCACCTTTGCCAAGCTCTCTATCACCATCTTCCGAGTAGCCTCCCCGCTGGCGCACTCCTTCTCAGAAGTCGCCAGCTTGGCCTGTAATGTCCTCATCTAGACCTCCAGAGAAGTACCTCCCTTGGTATACACAACAATCATCTCCAGAACCCTCATAATGGCACCAACATCTCTAGCCAACGTCACACTCTGGCTCGTACAATCCAGCTCCTCAAGAAAAAGTGACTGAGCACAAGGAAGATACAGGGTGGCCCCCTCGAAGAAGATATTGTTATGCCAACAAGGAGGCATATCGAACCGCCCCTTTTCCTTTTCTCCCGTTGTCATACCCCAAATTTGTCCCACCTTTTCACTTTTATCTGGCTTAGGCTTTGCATTTCATTTGCATCATTTTCATTAGGTCATTAACATAGTATCCCTTCATTCAATAAGGAAGTGGTTCAAAGCATCAGCGGTTGTGCCAACTAGGGTTTAATTTTAGTTTGAGGCTTCTACATTCAGTACAGTTGATTTACCTGGTTATTCTCTTGATCAATGGACTATGTGAATAAGGGTTTTTAAATATGGTTATCATGGACTTCTTGTCCTCAAGCTACAAAAGCTATTCTCCATCCAAATTCATCAGAGAGATTAGGGTTTATTTTCTTATTGTTTGTTAAGAGATTAGGGTTTTGGGCATTTATCCAAGGACCTCTTTATGGCCATTGGATCAAGTTATTCATATGTGGTATTTATTAGTTTGAGATGAGTTATAAGCCATTTTTCATTAGTCAAAAGAAGTTACTCATTACTTGAAACACAAGGAATTGGTTATGGCATTAGCGCATGAAAGGAAGTAGTTATCTTCTTCATCATTGAGCATTTAAGACAAGAATAAGGTTTTCTTATTCATCAAGATTTAGCTTGCCTACATTTTATTTGAGTTTCATTGGATATCTAGGTATTCTTTTATTACTTTAAATCTTATCTTCTACAAGATTCCTCAAGGCACTGTTTTCTCAAGTCAAAGTATGGTATGGATTAAACTGAGCTATGGCACAAAAGATAGATTAGTGATTTCTTTGTGATCAAGGTTTATTTGTGTATTTAATCACTTGATTACTTGCAAGTTGAGTCAGATTCATTATGGCATCAATTCCTTAAGAATGCACTTAGAATTCGATGATGCAGGTGAATTACTTAAGATTCGAGACACGGGTTCAAATTCATTCATGTGATTTACTGGGAATTCAAGATACAAGTTCAAATATCATTTCATCATCATTTAACTTTATCTCACAAATCCGAGTTCAAGTTTATATTGTCCAAGGCATATTCATCCAAAGCACCATTCAATTCCAATTCAAAATCAAGCTTTTCATTTCATCCATGTTCATTCGTTATAACCATTACTCACTTTACAAGAATTGTGCCAAATAAAGGAAATTACAAAGAAAGTTATATGGAAGTCTATCCTAATCTTGGTCTTCATTTTCAACCTTCTCCAAATTTTCCTTCCATCTTCAAGCTTTCATACTCCAACCCTAGTATCATGCTATGACTCTTCATGACCAAACCAATTTTCAATCAAAACCAAAACTCATCCAAGAAACAAACCTGCATAACATTTAATCAACAAAACCAAATTCAATCTCAGGCCTTCACTCTAGATAAACCAGTCCAAAACAATAAACTAAATTTGTCCAAAAAACAACCAAGTAAAAAGTTGCAGCCATGTTCTAAACATACAAACCAGTCCAATACAACCTACTGCCTTGTCTCTTTCCATCTTGTTTCATGCTCCAAAACATCCTAAAACAGTCCCTGCAAAGACAACCTCCTATGCTGTCCAAAAACCAGCTGCTACTAGCTTGTAGAGACATGCCAAAAAAAACCTGTCCACTCCCCTCCAAGACTTGTCAACATTGCACAAAAATGGTAATACAAAACCGGAATCAACAAAGCTATAAAATAGTTAACCAAATCTATTCAAATCCTCAAGTTTTTCCCCCTAAAACCCCACTCTCATTCACTATAAAAACACCAACGATAAGCAAACAAAGATACAAAAATTTCATAGAAAATCAATAAAGAAACTTACTAAAAATCATATCATAACTCCATACTTCACCAACAATTACCTCATCAATACCAAAACCTCTGCTCTCATTAACCAACAACACCTTCCAGAAATTGAAAGCTCACGACAATACCTCCCTGCAAATCTATACACAACAGAACCCCACTAACATCATTCATCTGAAAATCTTGAACAACTTCCATACACTCCAACTGCAACATTCAACAACAACAACACTTCAACCTTCATCTACACTTCAACCAACAACCCTCTAAATATATGCATAATTCAATACTGAACAACACAACAACAATTTATCAAATTGTGGATTTAAACCATCTACAACCAAAACATATAAACTTGCAAATTCAATTTAGAACGTGCACATAATCGACGCCCTGTAATTTGAAATTCAACTTCAACGCTCAACAACAACTTCAACGCATTTGCGCATTTGCGGCCATGTGTACATAACGACAAACATCAACTTTTTTTTGGGGATATCAACACAACATTTGAAGCATAATATAAGAAACAGAAACAAGAAGAGGAGGAACACAACACGCACCTCGATAATTTGTCGCAGATAACCTCCATTCTCCATCTTCTTTGCTATTTCGATATTTGAACTATGAACTTGTTTAGACTATCATCGATTTTGTGGTTGAGTTGGATTCAATTTCATTGTTGATGTCAACTGTAAGGGAGAAAGAGAGATGATATTTACGATTTCTTTTTCCTTGATCTTGATTCGTGGTCAAAGAAGCAGCCAGATTGAGGTTATTTTTTGGTTGAGAACGCATAATAGAGGAAGAGGATTTGTTGTTGTTGTTTGGTTTTACAAAGGAGTAGAATAGAGGAATGAGAGAAGTTGAGAGATTTGAGAAAATAGAGAGAGAATAGGAAGATAGGGGAACACGAGAGTTGAAACAAGTGAGAGGTTGTTCCTTGGATAAACCATTTAGGGTTTCTTAACCCGTTGTGATGTGAATGCTGACTGGATCCGGGTCCAGCCTGACCTAGTCCGCCCAATAATTTTTGTTTGTTTGTTTGGATCACCATGAGCTTACAAAAACTCCCTTCGGGTTTGCTACTACTTAAGCCCAATTCCTTTTTGTTTTTTTTTATTATTAGAGGTTTAAGTCTTATAATTATGAAAATATAACAAAAAATATTAATTTTTTCTTTTAGTTTTCAATAGAACTTCTTGTAAAGATTTTAGAATTAAGATTTTGTTTTTCCATTGATCTTAATATTTTCTTTACTATATAAAATTGTATTAGTATTATCTTATTTTATTTTTGGTTAATTGTGTGGTTGGTTTCTTGATTGTCCTCTTAAGTGATTCCATGAGGAGATTAATTTCCTTTTGATTGTTTCGTGTTGAATTAGATATTATGATCGATCCTTTGCATGATAACTTTAGGATATAATTTCTTCTTTTCATCTCAACATTAGGTCCATAAATTACCTGCAACATTAGGATATACTTTCCCCTTAAAATTTTCTTTCACAATGCATCCTTTCTAATTAAAACTAAAATCTCTTTTCTTATTCAAAAATACAAAAAAAAACACTTAATCATTATTCAAACTCATTTCACATTTAACAAAAATACTCAACAAATCAAAGATTTCTTCAAAAAGGGCATGTTACCTCCGTTCTATCGCGATACAGGTTGTGCCTATTGCTAGAATGCGTGCGCTAACATCGCCAACTGCAAAACACCAACAAACCAACATTTTCTAGAAGAACTAAGGTGTTCTGATTCCTTCACGGGATATGTAGGCAAAGGGTTGCGAGAACCTCACGAACACACTAATAAAAACCATTTCATTTCCCTTAGCAAGTATAGTTTTAGATAGACGCGCCCTTAGAAACAAACTATGAAAATGGATCTCGTTGAGTACAACAAATCTGAGGGATGCTAATACCTTCCCCTCGCGTAATAGACTTTTGTACCCTCTCTTTTGGTCACAAGACCATCTTATCCATCCTCTTGGGGTTTTATCGATATTTCCCTTTCCTCCAGGATAAATAAAGTTTGGTGGCGGCTCTGTGTTTTTTGCCGGTTGCTTCACCCGTCAAATCAACTGTGCTCTCGAGGGGTTGCCTCTTAAACCTCAAAGACACCTGCCGGGGAGAGAGCCCCGACTATTGGACTAGTCGGTGATATGCCCAAACCTGATTGTAGAGTCATCCCCGTTTCACCTAGCGAGGGTGTGATAAACCTTTGCACCTTATTCACCTTTATGATAGCTACTTTAGCCATACGCATGGCAGTGGGATTCATTTTTTTTGCTAGAAACAACAAATTGAGTTCAGGAAACAGGAACAATAAGCCATGCGTACAAATTTAATTGAAATATAACATAACTACCCAGGTATGCAACGAGATCCTCACTCTTGAGGAGCTTCTTATCAAGCTAGGCTCATAGACCAATATCTTGTCGCCGTCGAAAACTAGATTTCCCCATCTACCCACACGTTGGACTGGGGGGATTCCTGCGACAAAGGCGGATAAATGGTCATGACTAGCCTGGTCCCCAAGACCAAGCTGACCTTTCTTCCAGACGTAATGGTCGGTCCCCTTATTGTAATGCCACCTTGTGCAGTAAAAGTGGAACTTAGGAACCAACTTCATCGACTGCTCCCCATCTACGTTCAGAACAAGACCCCCATCCTCATTAAACAAAGGGACACTCCTAAAAACATTCAACAACGCCCTCTTTGACACAACTTGGATCAAAATATACCTATCTTTGAAAAATTAGAGAGACTCCAAGTTGGCCTTAAACAGTTTCCCATTCGTCTGCTTTAAAGAAACCCATCTGAACTGAGCTCCAAATGTGCTCATCTGAAGATAAAAGCAGTATAAGAACATGGAAATTGTCGCCCCTATCTTTAAATGATCACACACAATCTTGAAAGCACATATAAAGGCAATCGAGTTGGGGTGCATTTACGACAGAGCCATGCAAAGATGCCGGAAAATGGCCACCTGGAGATCAGTAAAGGGAATCCGAAAACCCATCTCTTGAAACAAGATATCATACATGGGAGGTTATCGGGCATCAAACTTTGAGCATATACAATGACTCTTCCTGGGAATGTATATTGACCACTCCTCCTCAGCACCCTCGAGCTTCATCCCCAGAGCCCCCATCATGAATACCGCATCCAGATGCTCGGTAAAGAAGGAAGCATGCTCACAAGGGCCTGGCGGGAAATAAGCAAGAGGGTCTTCAGAAACCATGGGTGCATTCTTCCTGGCTTCACCAGCAGGAGCCACAAGCGCATCCTTCCTGACTGCACGCTGTTCGGGCGAGCCTGGTTCTTGCATGCCCGGTTCGAACTCAAACACCCCCGAGGTACTCTCTTTGGTAGATGTATATTTGGTGGAACTCGGAGTAGAACCGTTGGGTTCATTCAAGAACTCATCATCATCACTGTTAACCATTGTACATGAAAAGCAGAGGACAAAAGTGAGTTTGACATCATAGTCAAATCCATCCTTCCAACTCTAATCAAATGAAAGGGCGCAAAGGAACAAGGACTCCGTCCCTAACCAGAGCCCTCACTCGACAATAAAGAACAGCCACGACGAATGTCCCCCTCGAACGCGTTAGGCACCTAAAAATGGGTTGAAACCTAAAATCTCACGGGAAATGTCCCCCAGACAACTAAGTTCAAATCACCCAGGAGGTTCATCAGGAGTGCACAAAGATCACAACAAAAACCCAGAAATGGCCTAACTTCACTGTAGAAATCATCAACACTCACTGTGGCTCAAGACCTCCTGGAAGGGTCCGCGGAAACACCAACGCCTTCGCATGGTAGAACCACTGTCTAACACCAACACTCCGCCGAAGGTTTTTTCACCACTCTATCCTTAACCACATGTATTTATAGGGTAAATAGAATATCTAACCTAGAACAAGTGCAAACCTCATAAAAGGCTAAGGAAATTAAAAACCTTAGCAGATTAAAAGGAGTGACGATGGTGACAAATGAAAGTATACAAAAGCAAGTGGCAGAGAAAACAAAGGCTTTATTGGGAAGCAACATCAAGCAAAAACAAGTCAATCAAGTAAAGCGAGAGAAAGAAAAAAAAGTGAACGAAGCTACCTCTCTCCCTTTTATAGACTTCCTGCTAGCACGTGACCAAGCATGCGCCTAGAAGACCTTTGGGTCACCATCTGTTGTACCCCAAAATTTGGCCTCTCATTTATCAATATTATCCTCACAAGATCTCTTTGACTCAAGATTGGATTAGGGTTTGGTCAGCTCAAGACATCTCATCATGCACTGATGACCCAAAATTAGGGTTTGAGATTGCACAAGGATTTTTGGGCTATAAATGCTTCATGTGACTTTCAAACATAATTATGGGCCCCTAAGATCACTCATGACAAGTTTCAAGCATTGAACCACATTTTTGATCAGTCAATTGGATAATTGACCTAAAAATCAGCTTTATTGGGGAAAAAGTCAACCATGGCCAATTTACAGTCAAACTTCATAATTTTTGATCCATATCAACATTCTAGGCTCATATGTATCATTTGGTCAAGTTTGGATTACAATTCCTCAAGAAATTTGGTCAAATCACCAAAAGGGCAAAATGGTCAAAATTAGGGTTTTGACTGAGGAAAGACAATTTCTGATTTTTGACCTAGCAAATGACCAATTGAGTTAAAGAATGATTCCAAGGATTCAATGGAATCATCTTGACCTAATTATATGGTTCAAAACATTGCAAATCCATTGGATAGACAGATAAAATTTGCAGTCAACTGATCAAAAGTCAATTGTATACTGAAAAGTCAAACTTTGACTTTTTGGTCAAAATCAAGTGCCAAGGGTCAAAATTCATCAAAACATGTCAAAATTTGAAACTTGTTCATCAAGAAATCAATGATTGAAGTTTAGGGTTTAAAATTGAAAATTTTCCTAACTTAGAAAATTTTCTAAGTATAGAAAATTTCTTATTTTTTCTCAACTTTAGGCCATTTTCTCACCATGATGCAAAATGATTCAAAGGAAGTTCCCAACATGAAAGTTGTATACCTCCATGAAATCTACAACTTTTCTTCACAAACTTTTCACTAAAGATGCTTGGATTTCAAGATATAATTTTATGAATACATGCTCATGAACTAATTAACTTAGTGAATTTTTGCCCTAATTTAGGCAGGTTTTGGACCCACCTTCATTGCAATTTTTCACCTAGTTCCAAGAGGATTATTGAAATGCATTTCAAAGATGAGTTATAGATCCCATTGCAAGCTTTCAAAAATGTCCAATAACTCCTCAAGATCATTTTTGAGTAAGGAGAATCGAAGAGATGAAGTTGGAAATTTCTCACTTTTGATTCAAGCCATTTCATGAAGAACAAAGTTCCAATCAGTACCTATGCTGCCTAATCCATTCTTTACAGGTCCCAAACTTGTTTCTTACTCCATAATTTAATGCTTATTCAGTTGACAAAGCTTTAATCCAAGCCTTAGATCCATTACCCAAGTTGTAATTCCATAAATGGCATAAAGTGGCCATTGCCATTTTGAAAAAGCTCCACTTTTGCAAACTTTATAAATCTTGAGCGTTGAACCTGTCTCCTTTGCACATACAAGTATCACAGACCTAAGGCAACTTTTATAGAATAGATAGTAACCCTAAACAAGTCAGCACAAGCAGGTAAGGCCTTGTCCCTTCACTTTGCTTCAAAAGCAAGAAAGTGTGCAAAAAGGTGGAAACATACAAATTTGTTGGAGAGCTGGCTTTAAACTGATTCCATACTAATATACAAGCTCATTTCAACATAAGATACAATTACTAGAAGCCTGAAACACTCCCAAACTTCCTTTCACCAAAAACTGTCAAAACTTGCAGTTTCTTGCATAAGCATATCAATCTCTCATTTGGCTCGTGCGTTTCAAGTCTTAACCATCAAAACACCATACCTACTTGATATCTAACTGATCCAGACCCTCATCCATGTAATATAACTCCTTCTCCATCATCTTCCATTTTTGTTTTCAAAGCTTGCAGGTTGACTTGGATAGAGAGTTCCAGGTACTTCCAGAGCAAGGCAAGGATTGGAACACACTCAGGGAGGTTCAAGCAAGCTCAAGCAATCACCAGGCCTTCATAAAACTCACTCCAACTCCATCCATGATTTCAAATGAAAGAGGTAAAAATCATAACTTCTATCTCTTCATACAGACATCCATTGGCCACGATTTGTGAATAAACAATGTAGACCTCATTGCAACGAAGTTGTACATATACATATCTTGCATTTATTTGGCCTGAGTTGAGAGAATTTTGAACTTAAAGTTCCTAGAAAAATTAGGTTTAAATTTATGGCTTTTAAAATTCATTTTAATCTTTGATTGTTAGCTTACATGATTTATATGGTTAGAATCGTGAGACAAAATGCTACAACATTCATGTTATGAGTTTTCATTTTCATGGAAGAATGAGAAAGTTACAGAGTATCTGGTTGGCTAGAGGAAGAAGACGGAGTACAGGGCCTTGGAAGCATTTCATGTTATGTTATTTTTGTTTCACATTAATCAACGGATGTATAGCCACCCCAGTGTCAAGGTACCACGCTGGTGAGACCCATGTCCTGGGTTCGAACCTTGGCGCTACCTTTTGCTTTTTTCACATTTTTTCCATTTTCAGTTTTGGCTTGTTTTTGCAGGAATTGGGCCTCCACGCTGGGCTTAGTTTTTTTTAACATTCACCATCTGATTGATCAGTATACCCCCCTGGCCCAATTTTTCCCATACATTTTTATTTATTTATTTTTGTTTTCATGTTTGTTTATTAATATTTTCTTTAATCCATCAAAATCCTAAAAAATATATGTGATACGGTGGGAGAACTGACTTATGAATTTTTGCGTTTTGTTTTCGCAAATGTTTCGGTTGAGCAAGAGTCGCCACCGACTTTTTATTTTATCCTAAGGAAAGGTTTAAAAAGCACAGCAAAAACCTTTGAGATGTTTTCTTGGGTTCGGGGAGTAGATTATAGAAAGGGAAGGTATTAGCACCCCTTCTATCCATGGTTATCCATGGGCTCTTAGTTACTTGCTTAGATCACTTGCCTTTTTCAATTGTTTGAAATAGTGCTTGTGTGTGTGTGGGTTTGAAAATGTTTTGAAAAGAGGCCAATGTAGTGGCAACCTTTGTAATGATCCATGTTGGGATGTATACAAAGGTGTATGTCTTTTGAAAAGGTTTTCATTTGTTTTTTTTTTAAAATCGTTTTGAAAGTGTAGTGATGTGTGATTTTGAAATTAGGCAAGTGTTTTGTTTTGCAAGTTTGATTCAAGTAACTGAGAGGTTGTCTACTCCTAAATTTCTCAAAAGATTATTGCTATGTTTTAACCCTTTTAACAAGTTTGTTCCACCATTGAATTTGGTGGACAATCTTGTGTTAGGATGTGAAAGGGACGGGCGCGGATCATCGTTTAGACCATAATTGCAATGGTGCCAAGTATCTTTGGGCATTTTCCTTAAGGGACTTGATCATTTTGTTTTGAAAAAAATATTATCGAGGGACTATGATCATTTAAATTGTTTGTTTTGCCCAAAGAGACCTAACATGCAATATGGCCCAATTTTGAAAGGGCAACAAGTGGATATAACCCTAGGGGTGTTAGTGTGCAAGTGTGTTTTATTGCATACAAGAGTTTTTTCTTTGAATTAGGTTTTCCTATTCCATTGATTTTATCTTGTCATACACGTCCTAATTACTAGCAATAAGAAGCGGAAATGTAAAATCCTACGCTATTACAATAATTAGGGGAGGGGGATACACATTTGTACA